AAGCAGCTTCGCAGCTTCCTAGGCCTGACCAGCTATTATAGTAACTTCATCCGGGGATACGCTAGGTATTCCTACGTCCTTACCTCCACCCTCCTCCGGAAGAACCCACCCTGGGCTTGGACATCCCTCCACGAGGACGCCTTCCGCGCCCTCAAGAAGGCGGTGACATGCGCATCGGTTCTTCACCTACCCGATTTTGACCGCCCTTTTATCCTTACCACCGATGCGTCAGATTTCGCTGTAGGAGCAGTGCTTTCTCAGGTCTTCCCCTCATCTCCTGATTCCTCTCATCCTCGTATCTCTTGCTTCCCACCACCTACCCCTACCACTGCTTCCCGACTGACGCCTACTCGTACAGCTACTGACGAGCCTTCCATTGACTATTCTCATACCATCGCCGAGGACGGCACTGTCGAGTCTCGCTCAGGTGATTGTCCGATAACCTTCTACTCCCGTTGTCGCAGTAGTTTATGCCGCTCGGCACTGGCGTCACTACCTGCACGGGGCACCATTCACGGTGCGCACGGACAACTCTGTTGTCCAGGCTTTTCTGACAAAGCCGAAGCTCACTCCTCGACAGGCTCGCTGGTGGCGCGACCTATCCGAGTTTAATCGGGTGAGACTAATCGGGTCGCCGATGCCCTATCCCGGCGCCCTGAGCACGACCAGGACCAGGAGCACATCCAGCTCTCTTCCATCTCGGTCAGCACCGTCCACCACTCGGTGATCGACGAGTTTCGCACTCAGTATCGCCACTGCCCCGACTATCGCGACATCCACGCGACCCTTCGGAGTAGCAAGACCGTCCCGAACTACTCTCTCGGGGACAACGGTCTTATGTACTGGCACGGTTCACATGGCACAAAAGAGCCCCGTATTTGTGTTCCCTCCACCGGACAACTACGTGTCCGAGCAGTAGCAGAGTTCCATGACCAGGCAGCTGCCGGTCATATGGGCTTCCACAAGACGTTGGCTCGTGTGAGCCGCCTGTACGTCTGGCCGAAKCGCAAGGACTTTGTGAAGKACTACRTYGCAGAGTGTSCCACCTRTCAGGAGGTGAACAGTGCGAACCACCTACCTTATGGTTTGCTCCAGCCTCTTCCTATCCCTGAGGGTCGTTGGCAGTCCATCTCGATGGACTTTATCGGTCCTCTTCGACCTCCGACCCCCCGCGGTCATGGTCGTTGTCGACCGCTTCACGAAGCGTGCACGCTTTGTTCCGTGCCGCTATGCCATCAGTGCACGTGAGGTCGCGAACATCGTATTTGACCGAGTCGTGCGTGACCACGACTTACCTCTGAGCATCATATCTGACCGTGACCCGCGCTTTACCAGCCGATTCTGGCGATGGCTCCACGAGGTGTACGGCACTCAGCTCCGCTTCTCCTCTCTTACCATCCTCAGACTGATGGTCAAACCGAGATCACGAACAGGACTCTCGGGGATATTCTCCGAAAGATTGTTCGTGACGACCAGCAGTGGGATCTCCATCTTGACCACGCAGAGATAGCCTACAACCACGCCGTCTCGTCAGCCACGGGGATGTCGCCTTACTATTGCGACCTCGGCTATCACCCACGTGTTCCCGCGGACTTCCTTCGACCGTCCCAGATGCACCCCGACACGAGTTGTCCCACGCTTGATGATTGGGTTGCACACATGATGTCGATTATGAAGACCGCACATGAGCACATTGCCGCTTCCCAGACTCGCATGGCAGCACGTGCGAACCGATCGCAGATGGATCACCGATTCAAGGTCGGTGATGATGTGTTTATCGATGCCCCCCACTTACAGCTCGAAGCGGGCACGTTCGCAAGTTTCGGCGTCGCTTCTTTGGCCCATGCCGCATCCTCCAGGCCGTCGGTTCTGATACGGCATCTAGCCCGGTCAGCTTTCGTGTGAAGCTGTCCGACTACCTACGCCAGGCTCGTGTGCATGATGTCTACCACGTCTCGTTACTGCGTCCTTACCGCAGACCGTCTGAGTGTTTCGCTGGACGACCATACGAGCGCCCTCCGCCCATCATGGTGGACGACCGCGAGGAGTTCCTCGTTTCAGACATCATTGGTCGCCGAGTCACCGACGACAACCCTCCCCACGTCGAGTATCTCGTACGTTGGAAGGGTTACCCTGAGGAGGAGGCTACCTAGGAGCCCCTCGAGCACTTAGCGCACGCTCGCATGTTGGTGCGTGCCTATGACCGTGCTCGTCGTGCTGGGTTCACTGCTCCTCCTCAGCCCACTGACCCTCCTCCTTCTCCTCCGGCTGAGGAGACCGCTGAAGTTGAGCCTGCTCCATCTGAGGCAGACCTTCAGCAGCAGCCGGATGCTTCTGAGCGTCCACAGCGCACTCGTCGTCGTCCTGCTCGATACGACGATTGACTCTGACTTACCTTCCCATGTCTTTGACTTCTCAGTACTCCATCCACATCAGTTTTGCTACTTCAGCTCGTCGACGCTGCGGCTCTTCCTCGACGGTATTCCGAACTTCTCATCGTGGACGTCATCAACGACTTCATGGACTTCATCACGATCAGCTCTGCCTACTTCAGACGTCGCCACTCTCTTACCACTCTACCCTGTACAGTACCCTGCTTGTGTCGCATGATGGTCTCCCTTTAGCCGGGTTCCTCTGAGTTGGGCTCTCCCTTGGTATACGCATAGGCATCGGGACCGTAGCGTTGCCCTGGCTTCCCATCTTACGGATCTAGCTCCGACTTCCCTCACTTTAGGAGTCATTTGCATGATTCCCTTACCCATCATCTTTCTACCCTTCGCCGGCCCTCACGCCCTAGTTAGGCAGCCCCGCATGCTTCATCTAGGTGCGCCCAGTATACCAGGCTCCCTTGTTCCCTTGCATGGTCGACCCTCCATAGCGGTCACCCCTTAGTCAAGCATTACCCGCCCTGATGGTCTATCTGTTGGGGTCATTGGTTCTGTTCGCTCCCTGTTCCCTACCCTCATTGAGCCTGATGACATATGTTTTCCCCTGTCACTATGTGTGGATGCCCTTAGGAGTTTTCAACCCCTAGGCTGCATTCGCCACCCTCAGAGACCATCCCACCCTTTGGTRTGCGACACACTTCTCATGTGACATATGGTTGTCTTGTTGATTGCTTTGTTGCTCTCAGACTGAGGCTACTGCCTCCGAAATTTCTAGGATTTAGTTGTTCTG